TCACGTCCCTGCGCATCACTGATGATTTCCAAGCGCAAAAGCCATATACTAGGCTTCCGATAGGAAACATCAAAGTCAATCACAGAGGTTCAACGAATTTTCCAGATGGGGCGAAAATGCACGCTCTCACTTCGACAAAACTTGTGCAGAAAGTCTACCAACCTCCAAATTTTATTCAATGTTCCAAAAATGGATAAGCCAGAAGCTATAGCCCATTATCCAGTACTCAGTAATTCGAGCACTCATAGTTCAGGGAACAAAACCAAACAAGATACACCCCACATCAAGCCCTCCCCAAGGTCCAGTAACTGGTATTACACTCGCTGGGAGGATAAAAGCACTAATTTGTACATTTGTTGGCCTCCACAGGCCAATGTTTCGGTCACATAAACATTCAAAGCACTACTACAATTCCAAAGGAAAATTGAATGCCTAGAACATCCCACAAAAAGTGATTGATCAAAGCTGAAAGGCATTATTCTTCCTCTCTCCTGTTGTGCAGGAGCACCAGTTATACGACAAAGATCTTTTCTAATGCGTCGCATTGCCCATCAACGATCAGTATATTACTTGCCGGAGGAAAATAAACTGTATTTTCAATCTTCGGTACAATTCGGGGGTCTCTATTCAGAACACATAGATCACTTTTAGACAAGGTGTCTGAAATCATTTGATCTCGACCTTACTTTCAGTTACAACAANTCTATTCAGAACACATAGATCACTTTTAGACAAGGTGTCTGAAATCATTTGATCTCGACCTTACTTTCAGTTACAACAACTGAGTAACCCTTTTGAAAACTGGCACTAGACCATGAAAGCACTCTCCAAGAAGAGTTAGTCAACGGATGCATGGCAAGCCCTGAGTTCATAAGCTTCAAGCATTGTCCTAGTCCGAACCAGTCAACCGAATCTCCAAAAAAGTACTGGTTCGTACTCTAGTTCTTCTTGATCCGTATCATCTATTCACCCCTGTAATGCCAAAGTCAGGTCTGTCCAGAGTTACCGTATCACCTTTGGTACTAGCTGTAGACCTGACAGGATCTTGTGATCCCTGTGAACAATACCTTAAGTATTTTTTAGGTAATTACGCATAGGTGGGGAAGCTTATTCTAAGTTGCGGCTTCCAGTGGCCATGAAGAAACCAAGTTCGCTGTGAATCAAAAAAAAAAACAATTTGTTGCGATCAATTCAAGTTTTGGTTTGGAACCAAACCAGATTTATTTCCGAGATGTAGACGTTACAAAATATTTTTGAGCTTTAGCCGAAGCTAAGTTGTTTCAAGTACACTGGTTATACCAGGAAGTTCATATGTCTATGTAGTTCTACTGAGGTTTTGTAGTCTCTTGACGTCTAGCAAAATAAATTGTCCCCGACGGACAGTCGTGACTCATATACCTGTCTGGGATTTCTGATCAGTTCAAGGGATTAAGTAATTACCAACAAAACAAAAGATAAAAAAGTTTTCCAGGGGAATGATGACTTTTGAGGTTCAGTGCTCAATTGAGCATGATTCAGGACTAATTTGGATGAGCCCACATCTGGTAGCATATCATGTGGGGCCCTTTTTCAATGTCTTCATCTAAGAGTTGATGGAGTTTTGATGGAAGGTGTGCACAACTGATGTACACCTTTCATCAAACTCCTCACACCGATGGAGCTCCTTTATTTTTGCTTCTAGTGAGCACTACAGCAGAATGATTGGATTTCAAAAAAGAGTCTTTGGTAAGACTTCTTCTAAAAATGGGCCACAGCCGTGCAGAAGAATTTGTGATTCGAGACCTGACCTAATGGACAAGCTACAGAAGCATGTATACGAGTTTGCAAAGGCGTCATTAGGGCCGAATCCGACAAATGCTCAGAAGCTATCGTGTTGTCTTGCTTCAGTTATAATTTATGTTGTAATTTTAAGCAAAATACATGTTTGATGCATTATATTTTGGTTCAGGGACAACTAAATTGATGAAAATCAGCATATAGGTGAGATCTATGCATGAAAAACTTGTTCTTGGAGACTGGAAGCGCTCCGGGTAGGCCGATGTAACTTAGAAATTCTTCTAATGGAAGCCTCCACAAGTCCAACAGAGAGAAAACTGAAAAAATAAGTTAGTAAGTTGAAGATGGATGTCTATGAGATGTCGTTTCATATGGGGTGCTTTGCTCTGTGCTTTGAGGGTCACAGCGATTTACATAGTTTACTGATTACTGAGGGGTAGCCTCATCGAAGTTGGCACCATTTCGGCAGACTTCCTGCATGACAGCCCGAGATATTGTGAAAATTCCATCCTCCTAATAGACTGCCTGTGTCCATAGGTAATCAGCCTGAGCCTCTTTTAGATGTGACAGTGTTACTCATTGTCACTCTAGACTTACCCATACAAAATTTTGCTGCTAAAAGAGAACAGCCTCATGCAAGGTCTACTCGAAGAGATTTTCCAGATTTGTACCCTGATTCCAAGATAATTAGTCTCCAAGAGAGGCGTAGGGTAACGGAGAATTATGTCGTGAACGCCTTTTTCGGCACGCCTACGCCTCTACCTACACCTACCGTGGTATTAACGCTGCGGAAACTGGTAGTTCCATATCAAAGACACCCTCTTCATCATAGCATTTCACAGTTTCTTCCATTAATTGATGCTTAAATCGCTCCTGTAGGTTCCCTAGAAGGAATTGAATAGTGAAGAGCTTCTTATATCGTTACTGCGTTTCGGTTCGAAAATCATTCCAACCCCTGATTTATAGAGAATCAAAAACAGTTTAGTAAAGCACTTCAAGAGTAGCAATCAGTTAAGGTCATTCCCAAGCAACTAGTGTTCCTAGTACTGTTTCCGCTCCTGGATAATGTTTCATCAAGGGAACCCTTGACGGAATGAACAACTTCAACTTTCAGAATTGAGCTTAACGATGGAACTGGTGGAAGATTTCGCAGAACGTGGAGTGGTCATCGTCCTTGAAACATTGCTTATCGGTTTGGTTAGTTAACTACGAATAAATACGTAAATACCCAAATCGACCTAATACTCGGCTCCCAAATCTAGATAGCCAGTGAACCGGCGAAGATTGTTTAAATGAACTTACGGTTTGCTGGCTCAAATTGAGTTGTATCTTTTCGAATAGAATAACTTTTATTTCATTTTTAAATATTCAGTTAGTTTCATAGTTTTCTAACTTCTCGCCTCCCACAGTATGGTAGGATCGGGTGGAATCACTTGAGTTCGACTGAGTAATAAATGAGTATGTCTTCACAAAGATCTGAAAGAGCCTACATGCGAGATGGTCTACTATTCCTGAATTTCGTTCATTTTGGTTATCTTTTACTTTAATGAAGCTAAAGTGAATGAAATAGGCTTCATCTAGACGGCGCTTGGGACATTGCTGTGGTAGGTGGCTTGGGGCACCCTTTTAAGGTCGAAAAGAGGAAATGTTGATGAAGAGCACTACATCGGTAGCGCAGGAAGCGAAAAAATCCGCCTACTTCAAGTCTTTTGGAAAGTAGTGGAAGTGGAGGTTGTACGAGATTCCCGTGACGTGAAAGTCCTGTGAGTGGGGTTTGAGCGAGAGTTAAGTTGCTCCCAATGCGCAGAGAGATGATTACACCAAGCCGAAGTTGTCCGAAACTGCTTCGCACTGTCGCCATGGGTTGTGGGGTTGTGGCGAGTCGTTTGAACTTCCTACATGGAGCTATCTCAAAGTGGGGCAGCCTCTGCAAAGCCGATGAAGCTCGTCTACTATGGGTGTGGCATTCATACAATACTATCTCTGGCCCCTTCTTGTGCCCTATCCAAGACGTTTTCGATCTTATAAAGGCAGGTGTGGTATAAAGCTCGAATTCATACTATGGGGAGCTTTCGGGAACCATTTTTATCGTGAACTGCGCCTTTAAATACGCATGATTCGTGTCCGAATCCCGGCTCGATGCTGGCTCAGACCAAGGAGTAGCCAGCCGCTGGTCTAAGCGAGTATAAATAGAGTCGCCATTAGTTGAGAGTCGGTTAAGTGGTAAAAGACTGGCCTGCGAGGATAAAAGCACTGTTGCGTTCTCTCTAACCCTCCACCCCCTACTTCACTTAATAAAATTTCTACACTTTCGCTTTATTGAGTAATAGGTGCCAAAAACTTTTTCAGACGTCTGCCTTCGGTTTTCTGTGCAATTTTGTTGCTTTCCTAATTTTTATTCGACACCGGGCATTACGGAACTCGTTCGGTTATCTGTCAGCATATCGGGCACTGACAAATGCTGGAGTTCTTTTAATCCTTCTGCTATGGGCAACACCATGGACCATAGTGTATGGTTATTCTGTTTCTTCGGAGTCCAAAGTGTTTTTGGAGAAAAAAAGCGAAAAATTTCAGGAAAATTCCTACATCAGCTCAATGGCTAAATGAACTTGTTGGTCAGATGGCCTTACTCTTCATGGAATCATGTTTTCTATGCAGTTTTGTTGTCTCGATCAATAGGTATCTTTTGCCGTTTTTCTCTATCTCAACCTTTTAGAGGGCATTTTAACAGTAATAGCGCTTAACTATGCGATGTCAGTGACCCTACTACTTCAGATTTGTGGCTGTTATCTATCCAACTTACTATAGAAAAGCCTTCAATGAACGAACTACAGCAGCAATGCTCTTGCTGACCACAACTCTTTCGTTGCTTCACTTTGGTATTTATTTCGTAGGTGAGTCGTGATGAAGTTCACCCTTCACATGGTAGATTCACCTGATTTCAACCACTTTAGATGGTTGTAGCTTCTATTACGACCAGAAATCGGATGCATGGACTTTTGGGACCGATTTGTGCAGCCAGAATATGGCCCTTTACATCGATATGTGCTTCAATATAGCCCTTTTCGCTACTAGTTGTGTTATCGATGTGGTGGTATTCAAGCGTTTAAGAGCATCGACCAAGGTGGTCCTCTTCTTTGAGAAAACCAAAAATTTCGACTGAACGGGGCCTTTTTAGAGGATGATGACCACTTCCAGTATTCATATGGATAGGACGAATAGATTGCGGTTGAGGAGGGAAGCTCTGCTGTTCGCTCAGGTAGCTGATGACTTTTTTGGGTTACCAAAATAAATCGAGTGAAAACAAAAAGGATGTTCCGGAAAAATAGTGCAGGCTGTACTGGATAGATTTTGATTGCAATTGAATGATTTTCGATTCACCTAATTGTCTACACATTTGTTCTGGAGAACTTTTCTGTTGTTCTGCGAAGATATTTCAATTTTCAGGCTATTCTCAACTCGTTTTTGTATTCGTTCATGCTTCTGTGCTTTCATCTTATCGCTTATTTCACGACTAGCCTATTCGGTCATTTTTTCTTTAGAACTTTCGTATGGAGTGTCGCCCATACTGTAGACGGGTAGGTGTATAATAGTACTAGCTTATCCAGTTTTTTGTCAGTTCTATGAGGCAGATCCGGGAACTTATCATTCTCTTTGATTACAAATTTTCTGTGAGTAATATTGGATTGATTGTTTTTTTTTCAGATTGATCCTCATCTACCTCAACCCCGAGATTAAGCGACATCTCGTGGGCATTCGTCACTTTTTCCAATTTATCAAGGATCCCGTCAGCTCCAATGCTGAACGAGTAGGACCTGTCTACTCTACCACAGTCAAATGAGACGGTTTATTCGATTCGATGGCCACACGTCAGTAGAACTGCACAAAATAATTATATACTATGACCCTTTGGTAACAGGCAGTAGAAGGTCAGCGTAGCGCCTGAAAACTCCGTCGAATCTGTTCAGGACCGATTAGTGTCGCCACCGCTGTAGACCTATGAAAATCACGAGTTTTAAATTCCATCTAGGGGGATAGTTAGCACCGGACTTCACCCCCAGCACATTGTCGTAGTGGAGGAGAAGGTTGGTAAGTCACCCACTGATGGAAAACTGCCCCATTCACAGACACTCGCTCAAACTCCGCCCATTAATTTCAAGGCGCCTCCCGTTTTACCGTCTCTGACTCCGACCGTGGTGGGTACTGTGCAGATTCTCTTAGCAGTGATGGTCATGCGTCGTAGACCTCATTACGGATGTTAAGCAGAATAAATATTTATAGTACGTTATCGTTGTTTGTCAATAGTATTGTTTATTTAAAAGTTAATGAAACTTGGTTACAGTTGTTCAATACAATCTAATTACAAGAACATAAGTTTGCATGTCGTGATAGAAGCAGCCGTACAAACTCCGACCAGTGAATACGTCCCCTTTAGTGGTCGCCTGCTGTCACGTCCCTGTGCTCGACCACTGAAGTTTTCCGCGTGTACAAGCCATGAACCCTTCTTTCGATATGAAATAATCTGGATCAAAATCAGTCACTGAAGTCCAAGAGTTTGCCGGTGGGGCGGAAATGCTTGCTCACACATAAAAAAAAATTTTAAACTTTCAAAGTCTAATGCACGGCGCGTCCTAAAAAAACGAGATCAGTTAACAATCAAAGACTCTATCCCTCCCATGTTTAGTTGTGTAATACGACAACAATTTTTCAACATGCTTGCATTACTGATCGACGATCAGTACATTACTTGCTGGGGAAAACAAAATGTATTTCTAATTCTGAGTACAACTCGACTCAGAACATGTGATCACTCCTAGGTGACGGCAATTGTGTGAGATCATCTGATCTCGAGTTGCAACCTAGGAGTAACTCTTTCAAGTGTCACTAGACCATGAAAGCTTTTTTCTTCAAATCCTTGAGCTTTTCAAGTATGCTGTTAGCCTGAACCAGTCAATCGTACTCCAAAAAAGGGCTGGCTGCCATCCTAGTTCCTCCCTTATCCATATGATCTAATCACCCTCCTGGGCGAAAAAAAAANNNAAAAAAAAACATGGCACAGTCTAGAATTACAGTAACAGCTTTGCCACTTCCTCTAGACACTGCCTGGTTTTTGTGAACGCTCCTGAATATTTTTAGTACTTTTAGCTGATTACTCGTGATGGATGAAACCGTTTTAGAATTCGGCTCTCAACAACCAATAAAGAAACCAAGTTGATGTTCTGTTTATCCCAAACTTCAGTGTGGAAGCAAACCGGATTTATTTTCGTGTCGTAGACGTTGCGAAGTATTCCTGAGCTTTGACCGAAGCTAGGTTGATCCAAGTGCATTGTTTCACAGCAGGGTTCACATGTCTATAAAGTAATACTGAGGTTTTGTAGCCTTTTGACGTGGCAGGAATAGAAATTGCCCCCGGCAAGTGGCCATGGCTCATGCGATTTCTGATCAATTGGAAATATTAAGTAATGAGTACCAAAATCAAAGAACAAAAAAAGTTTCCCACGAGAACTATGTTTTTCGAGATACAATACTAAATAAGCATGATACAAAAGTAATTTGGATGCACACCTATTTGATATTATTAATATCATATGTAGACATTACTCATTGTCAGGTGGTGAAGCTTGTGATGAAAGATGTGCACCACTCGATGGAGCTCTTTTGATGTTGCTTGTCATGAGCAGTACAGCAGAGTGACACGATTTTGAAAATGAGTTTCTGGTAAGGCCTGCTCTGGAGAAAGACAAAAGAATTCTTGACTCAAGATCTGACCTATTGACCAAACTAGAGAAGCATGTACATATTATATTTGGGCCCAACCAACAGATGCTCTTAGGACAGCCTCATGTAGCTATCCTTTTGGATGAGGTCTTCACAAGTCAAGTATCACCTGTATCACCTGTACTCCCGTTGATCGTCAATTTCCTCCAGCGGGCGCCAGTAACGTCTCCATTCGTCTCTGTGGTGAGCCAGGGTGATCCAGCGAATCGTACTCGCTCGAGGAACTCTGGGCAAAACATTCCTTTCGTTCAGAGCTTTCGTGAAGAAGTCTGACCATCTCGTTGGCGGCCGCCCTGATGTTCGCTTGGCATCCCGAGGGATCGATCCATTCGCTTGCCTTCCTCTGTGCATCGAGGGTTACAGTACATAACGTAGCCCATACCAGAGCCTCATTGA